CTCTCTCTCTCTCTAAAAAATCAATAAATAAAAGTGTTTTTTAAAAAACATGAAACTTAAAGATTTTATTTTTTAATGGCTGAGCAATATTCATTTAATCTATTTACATTTAAAGTAATTATTGATAGGTATGTAGTTATTACCATTTTATTAATCATATTTTTTATCTTATTTTTTTCTCTTCTTAAAGGAGTTCTTTTAACATTTTCTTGTAGTACTGGTTTGGTGTTGATGAACTCCTTTAGTTTTTTCTTGCCTGGGAAGCTCTTTATATGCACTTGAATTCTAAATGATAGCCTTGCTGGGTAGAGTAATCTTGGTTGTAGTTCCTTACTTTTCATTACTTTGAATATTTTGTGCCAATCCCTTCTGGCCTGCAACGTTTCTGTTGAGAGATCAGCTGACAGTCTTATGGGAGCTCCCTTGTAGATAAATAACTGCTTTTTTCTTACTGCTTTTAAAGATTCTGCTTGTCTTTACCCTTTGGCATTTTAACTATGACATGTCTTAGTGTGGGCCTCTTTGGGTTCCTCTTGTTTGGGACTCCCTGTGCTTCTTGGATTTGTATGTCTATTTCCTTTACCAGGTTAGGGAATTTTCCATCATTATTTCTTCAAATAGGTTTTCAATTCCTTGCCCTCTCTTCTCCTTCTGGTATTCCTATAATGGGAATGTTGGTACACTTGATGTTGTCCCAGAGGCCCCATAAAAATTATCCTCATTCTTTTTAAATTCTTTTTTCTTTTTGTTGTTCTGACTGGGTGTTTTCTGCTTCTTCCTTCTTCCAAATAGATGAGTCAATCACCTCTTGCCCCTCCCATCTCCTCTTCCCTTAACACAAAAGAAGCCTGAACTCTGTACTTTCTTAAAATGGATTTGAGGTACCACTAGGGCTCCCATCTTCTCAGTTGGCAACTTCTTGATCAGTAAACCTTTTCTTACTTCAAATTCTGACATTTTGAGTTTTGGCCTTTCAAAATATCAGGCACACAGACCTTGGTCCAGTAATAACTGAACTTGTACTCAGCTCAAGTTGCAGAAAAGAACAGTGGTTTTCAAAGCAGATCTAGTTTCAAATCCCCAAAACCTTAATACATGTATGTGACCCTGGCCAAGTCATTACACCTCTCTGAGCTTCCTTTCCTTATTCTTTTTCAAAGAATTTCTACACCTGGAGATCACTTTCTGTATCTATGAACAGAAAAATGATTTATGAAGAATGTACCAAGAAATAATATTTGGATCTGTATGTACATACATATTTTGTTTTCTGAGTTTTCTTTCTTGAGCATTATATTTATTTATTTTTAATTTAAATATTTATTTTTTAATCCTCACCTGAGAAGTGAGGATATTTTTTCCACTGATTTTTAGAGAGAGTGGAAGGGAGGGGGCAGAGGGAGAGAGAGAAACATAAATGTGATAGAGACACCTCAATTGGTTGCCTCCCACATGGGCCCTAGGCTGGGGACAGAACCTGCAACCCAGGTACGTGCCCTTGACTGAGAGTCAAACCCAAGACCCTCCATTGTGCAGGCCTACACTCTAATCACTGAGCCACGATGGTCAGGGCTATTTATATTTAAATATTTATTTGTTTGTTTACTTATTTTTTTTTGAGAGGGAGAAACGTCAATTTGTTGTCCCATTTATTTATGCATTCGTTGGTTGATTCTTGCATGTGCCTTAACCAGGGATCAAAACCCCAACCTTGGCGTTTAGGGACATGCTCTAGCCAACTGAACTACCCTGCCAAGGACTTGAGCATTATTTTTATCAGACATGAAAATAAATACTGCCTGGCCAGGCCTGGCTCAGCGGTTGAGCATAGACCTAGGATCCAGGCGATCAGGGTTCGATTCCCGGTCAGGGCACATGCCCGGGTTGCAGGCTCGATCAATGACTCTCTCATCATTGATGTTTCTGTCTCTCTCTCTCTCCCTCTCCCTTCCTCTCTCTGAAATCAATAAAGATATATTAAAAAAAAAATTAAAAAGAAAGAAAATAAATACTTTATTTTTAAAAAGAATTTTGGCTTGGCTTTGGGATTTGGGCAGATGGAAAAAAAAGAATGTCTTGATGAGGTTAGGTTTAGTAATGGTTAAAGAGGAAGTAATAAGGAACCAGGAGCTGGCTTTGAGATCCAGCAGCAGAGGCTGAAAAGGAAGCTGTGGAGAGATGTAAAACCACAGGTTAATACTGCCAGAAATAAAATTGCATAGCTCATCTGGGTGGGTGAAAGGTATCTGGGGAAGGGCAGGGAAGAACAGCTGGGAGTATGCAAAGTCATCAAGCAATGGGCCTTAAATTAATTAAATTTATAGCCTTTTCTAGTCCTAAAATGGTGAGATCAGAGGGGAGCTTAAGCACTCATTTCTCTCAGTACAACCAGAGCACAGGGACTGTTTGGAGTATTTGTTCCCAAGTTGTGGAGTATTGGATGGAACAGGGTCACCAGGATGTAAGTGGAGTTAAACAAAGTGACAAACTGGAAAATGCCCAAGTTTTGGAGTCAGCTCTAAATCTCAATTCTGTCACCAGAGTCTTGAGGGAGTAACCAACCATCACAAGATCTAGGCCCCTAGAAAGTAGGGGATCAGAGGGAAGATAATACATATGACATTAAATGACACTCTTTAATAAACAAAAACAAATGGAAAATTAAAGTTCTCAAAAAGCAACTTTGGGTTTTTGAGCAAACCCAGCGATTAAACGTTTGTTTGTTTTGTTTTGTTTTTTAAAAATATATCTTTATTGATTTCAGAGAGAGGAAGAGAGAGAGACTGAAACATCAATGAAGTCATCATTGATCAGCTGCATCCTCCACAACCCCCGCTGGGGATCGAGCCCATGTGCCCTGACTGGGAATCAAACTTTGATCTTCTGGGTCCTAGGTCAATGCTCAACCACTGAGCCACACCCAGCTGAGCTAAATGTTTATATCATCTGCTTATATCACCTGCCCAGGAAACTTTGCTGTCAGGGCAGATTTCTCCACAAGTCTTATAAACACAAAATTTCAAACCACCATTTCCAAGTTGAAATACAAGTCTTTCAGATGTATGTTATTTGTTATTTTACCTTCTTGTTTTGGTTTCACAAGTCTTGACAACTGCCTGGTCTTGTCTCAAGTTATTCTGGCGATTAAGGGTGTGGTTTTTCGGTCCTGGCCCTTCTGTGCAGATGGAGTGCCAGTATACTTCCCTATACTTTCCCCCACGGGAAGCCATTTAAAATTTTGAGTTAACTAATATGAAATAATTTTATATCAAAACTCTTATTAACAAACAGTTGTTGGCAGGTGATTAAGAGCATAGATTTTGGAATCAGGCTAGATTGCATGGGTTTGAATCTTCTATTTTTCATCACTTTCTAGCTGCGTGACTTTTGGCAAATTACTTATTTCTCTTTACCTTACATCCTAAGGTTATCGTGACACTTAAATGAATAAATATTTGTAAAGCCCTTAGAATGGTGCCTGGCACACAGGAAAGCTCTAAGTGTTTTCTAAGAATATTTTGTTCACCACTAGCCTACTGTTTCATACTGCTTTTGTTAGGGGCAGAAATATTAATCAAGATCTGTTAACTGTGATTGTTAGCTATAGCTATAAGAAATATTAATCATGCTCTGTTAACCATGATCGGTCTGTTCTGATTAGAGAAAGCACATTATAAACTGGCTGAGAGTTGTAGCCCTGAAACATGGGAATTAACCTTGGAATGATCATCATGGAAAGATTAACCACCTTGTTCCCAGAACAAAAGGAGTCCGGGAAGCACCCACCCTTTGTGACCCACTGCCCGCATCCCCGCCACCCAGAGGTGGAGGCACCCTACCCTTTCACAATCCCCCCAGCCCACATTGAACCATTATGCCCATTCTTCCTCATTTTGCCTACTTCTGCATGTAATCTTTGTCCTTTTACCTAGTATAAGCAGCTGGTTTGTGACAGGGAGGGGATTAGAGCAGATTTTATGTGGATGACCCTCCTGCACTCCCATACTGCCAGCATTATTGGAATAAAAGTTCATATAGGATTCAATCCTATCTCTGCTTAACTGGCTCAAGTAGTGACCTGCAGCCTGGACCCCTGCGTGGTCGGTTTCACTTGATTATCTGCCTCATTCATCCTTTATCCCCTAGATGGGTGTATGGCTGGGGTGATATGAAGTTGTACTGGCTTTAGCAGTGGTGGTGGTTCTTTTACTCGTTATTCGCATGGGCAAGGATTTACAGGGAACTTAGGGTCCTGCCCCCCGAGTGGCTAAAGTGAGGGGGAGAAGCCTGCCATTTTCTCAGGCTGTTACCACCAGGTAAAGTTGTGGAAAATAAATTTTAAGTAGTCAGACTGGCCCCTTCCTTTCTTCTGGGCGAGAGGAGTCTGAAGGCAGCTTCTGCAGGAGACCTGAGCACAGGCTGCGTTCCTGGGCGGGCGTCCCCGGGCCTCGCGCTGCCCAGCAGCACTGTAGACCCCGCGACGTGCAAGGGGACAACCTTCCCAACCAATTCGAGGTCATTCCACAGCCCTGCAGGTCAGCTTCTTGCCCACTTCTCTCCTAACTGGGAAGAGGCTGGCAGCCCGAGGGCCGCTTAGGCGACTTCGCAGTCTGGGGCATCTGACACCGCGAAGCCTGGGGCGCTCACTTGGAGGAAGGCACCCTCAAGTCCCCACGAGAGCCCCCCCGACGGGCGGTGGCCCGACTTCCACGGGCGCGTGGGCACAGTCTTTTCTCGCTGCGGGCCTTACTAGCACCGTCCTTAGTTTTGCTTCTCGCCACTCCGTTTCCCATAAACAGCAGGGCGACCCGGAGGACCTGTGGCCGGTCACTGCGCTTGCGCAAAGGGCTGCGCTATTAAAGCGGCTGGGCCGTCCGCCCCGGGCCTGAGCTGCCAGGGCGCCTGCGCCGACAAGGGGTGCTGGCAGCGCCGAGAGGACCCGCTGCCAGTGCAGAGCTGCCAGCGCGCCTGCGCGGGGACTGGGCGCCGGGGCTTTCGGCCGAGCGGCGCGGGACGCCGAGTGTAGCCATGCAGAGAACCGCCTCCGAGCAGCCGCACAAGCGGCCCCGGCGTGAGGGCGAGCCCCGCACGCCGCCAAACACCCCTTCCGCAGCGGCGGCCAGGGACGCGGATCCCGAACTCCCCTCCGACGGCCGGACCTGGAACGCGGAGCAGGTGTGCTGCTTCCTAAAGCGCAATGGCTTCAAGGATCCCGCGCTGCTGGACCGCTTTCGAGGTAGCGGGG